GGCGGCGCAGGGCCGCGTAAGGGGCCAGCGCGGGGCCGCGTAAGGGGCAGGCGGCGGGGCCGCAGGGGAGAGGGCGACCCGAAGGGTCGCTAAAACAAAAAAGGGCGCGCCTCGGGGCGCGCTTCGGTGGGCCCAAAAAAAAATTCGGTCCTGGAGGGACCTAGCTCTATACCATGTGAAACTATGAGCAGAGGAATGAATTGACTAAGTCAGAGTTGGGTACAAATACAACCCTAGCAAACTGTACCCCATATGTGCTACCCCACTATAGCCTACAAACATGCATCAGCTATAATAATCTGACACGACATTGCGGCTCAGCTCTTTCAGTTGCAATGACGCGTCTGATTTGTCGACCCAACGCGGCGGAAGCTTCGGGTTAACCATTTGCGAAATGGCAGAAAAAAAAATGAAAGAACTTGATCGAGACAGGTTGAATCTTCGAGTTGCGCTGATACTTTTAGTAGCTATGAACCAACACCATGTGAACTCCTGAGAGCTGTGAGGATGACAGAGGGTCTGACCGATGCTTCGCCTAGGGGAATCAGGAATCAGAATGTGGTTCTGTCTGACTAATTTACCGCAAATCGTGCCAGTCACGACGATGGAAACGGGGCATTGTGAGAGGCGGGGGTGTGTGAGAACGATGCTCTTGTGAATTCGTTGGTCTGATTTTAACTTTGGATCGCGGGCGTGCTGTGTCACTCGTGGGGCCTGTTCTGTGTGGCTCGTCCTAGTCGTGTGGCTGTTGTTAGTTCCATGCACCTGTCTTGAATCTCCGCTTGTGTGGCTTGGTAACCACACGATGGAATGTCTGATGTGGGGTCGGCGAACAATGCCTGGCTGATAATGCGCTTGTACCCCACAGGTGCAGACTACACGTGGCAGTGTGAATCTGCCCAAATGTTTGTTACACGCACGACGAACCTCGCTTAGGTGGCGTGGCAGTCGGACGAATGCGTTCACGAAACCACTCACGTTTCATCCTTACATTTCGCCTGCCTGGCTTCTGGCCTAGAAACAAGGCAAAACAGGGTCGGCCTGCCTTGTTCGGGACTGCACGTGCGTTGGTGGCCGCAGCGCGTGTACTGTAGCCAGCCATCTAGGTGCTTGTACTGTGGGAGCAGCAAGCAGGGTGCGTGAGCTCGGGTGCCGCGTTTCCATCCGATGCATGGCAAATTCGCGTGCACTGGTCGGGCATTAGCTGTACAGCAGTAATGCCACCAGCAGACTCCGGGCAGTTTCTTTAATCACTAAATCCATGGCTTCCAGATTCCGGGAAAACTGCGGACCGGGCCGTTCTGTCCACACAATGCCTCCGCAATCATGGCATACATGGCGGCTATATTCTCGTCTGGGCCACCGATCAGACCAGTAATTATATATTCGCTTCTTTTAAGCGAGCTAAGCGGTGTCTACCTGTCCGAGTTGAAGCTGTCTTCCAAGTCGCGCCTAGTCGGCTCAGATCTAGACATTGGTGAGGTGCAAGATCCGTTATCGCGTTCCAAGGTTGTAAACCGCCTTCAAAGATCTGAGAAGCATTGCGACACAAGTTTTGTATGACCCAGGCTTTTCGTCATCCGAATTTAAATCACATTGGCTCTCGTCGCTTCTGACCAGCGCCTCACGATCCTGCATCGCTTAATAACGTCTAACGAGTCGACGGAGTCCTGAAGTCTCGGCCTCATTCGCACTCAACAATATGGCTCCCTGCGACTCCTCCGTGCCATCAAGCTCCTTCAATGGATCCGGAACTTCGGGGATGTTGCAAAGCAGCTCACTCAATGTCACGTCAGCACCCTCACCGCCGCCTTGCGGCACGTCTATCGATTCAGGATCGTCAGTCGTGTTTATTTCCATCACATTTGCGGCGTTCATCGCTATTGTTCTCGCTACAGCGATCCTCGTTTACGTCTTCCGCAAGCTCGGGTGGTGTGTAGATATAGATCCGGCGACCGAACGTCTGCGAAATCTTCGCGAATCCGCGAGAGACGCCAAGCCTTCGCAGGGCCTGGATCCAGCGATCATCCGCTCGTTTCCAGTGTACACCTTTCGTGACGACAAATCAGGCAGTCGCGAAAGTACCACGGAGTCAACCGGTCTATCTTCCCTTCGCAGGATCAGCCGCGAGATTTCGCGATCGTTGAGCTTTTCGCGTCAAATCAGCAACGACCACGTGTCGATCTCTCGCTGCTCTACCAAGGAAGAAAACAGCAGCGTTAAATCCGGCATCTCCCGCTGCTCTACAAGGGAAGAAAACAGCAGGAGCGGCGACGAAATGGCGAAAGAAAGCCCTTGCGAAGCTGGTTTCAGTCGAGGCGAATTCGTGGTAACCATTCAAGGCGACGAGAACATCATGTCCTCGCTGATCGGCGACAGCGACGCTCTCGTCGCGAATCTGACGTGGGCGTGTCGGCGCGAGTGCGCGGTGTGCCTGGGCGAGTACGCGGCGGGCGAGCGCATCAAGGTGGTGCCGGCGTGCGCACACGGCTTCCACGCCGACTGCATCGACCTCTGGCTCGCCGCCAAAACCACCTGCCCCATCTGCCGCCGCGACCTCTCGCCTTGTGAATCCGCGGCAGCGGCGGAGGGGGTTACAGACGGAGAGTTGGCTGAAGGAACGGGAGCAGAGGGAATGGGAGCAACAGCAGCACCAGCGGCGGAAGCAGCAGCGGAAGCAGCAGCACCAGCAGCAGCACCGCCAGCGACAGCAGCACCAGCAGCCGAAACAGCAGTGGCTGCAAACTTGGTCTTCAGCAGCAGTGGCAGCACTGCTCGCAGCAGCGAGAGCACCATCAGGGAGAGCAGCAGCAGCAGCGGAGATGGAGAATTAGATAGTCGTGTTCAATAACGAGGACAGAGGAGAGGCAGAGGCCGATGCAATAACGAGGGGCGGCTGAAATGGTACAAGGATGAGGATCGACCCCATGTACCTGGAAACATCAGCTTCTGGGGTACCCACAGCTTGAACGGAAACATGTCGTGCAGTGAAGCAAGAAGAATCAACTGACTTACGCGTTCGCAAGATGTGCGTTGACTTGAGGGCTTCCTCGAGGTGAATGTGATCACAGGGAGTGCCTTGAGTCAAGGGTTTCCGAGGAAGCAGTCTCACTGCCTTCTCTAGTCCATTGTTGCGGCGCCAGAAACGCTCAGTGTGTTTCCAGGGAAGGCACTCCCAAGGCCACCCTGAGAAGGCACCCACCCGGGGGGTGTTGTGCGTTCGGTGTCAAGGGATTTCCAAGGCGAGCTTCTCAAGACACCACAAAACTGGCCCAGAGTTTCCTTGTGAAGGCGGTCCCAAGGGCGCCTCGCATCCCACCAGGCGCCTTTTGAGTCGACTCGAAAGTCACTTCAAGGCACCCCAAAACAGGCCCAAAGTTTCCTTGTGACGGTCGTCCCCATGGTGCCTCGCATCACATCCCACAATGCGCTCCTCCATGCCTCCCGCCCCACAGTGTGCTGCGTCCACTTGCAACAGTTTTTCCGTAGCCGTTGCTGCCACGACTGCTGCTGCTGTGACTGTTGCTGCTTCCACTCCCACACTCCGTGCTGCTGCCGCTGCTGCCCCTGCTACTGCTGGTGGCAATGCCATTGCTGGTACTCTTGCCTGGCGAACGGCTCTTAGTAACGGACATACCAGCAGGCATCATGCCAGAGAAGCGAACCGGCAGCAGCGGACCATGGTTTGGGCAGAAGCTTACATGTAGTCTATCATCTATCATCAATTTAGTGTGCGGAAGGCACGGAATGGTTCTCCTACGGCAACAGTGGCAATACAGAGACGCTCTATCAGCAGGGTTGGCAAAAGGTTAGTCCTGAATGGTTTTGCAGGAATGGAAGGATCAGCCAGAAATGTGCCGAGAACAGGTTGGGTAGAGGTTCGGGCCTGATGGTTTGGGAACGGAAGGATTGGAAGGGCCGCCAGCTGGGGTGGCTGGTGCATAGGTCAAATGGCTCGGGTTTGAGTTGACTGAAACGTCTTCCTCTGCTACTCCTAGCAATGAAGGTCAGAGGGAGTTGGTTTTTGAGGCGCTTCACAAACACGGGAGGGGCGGCGGACTAGCCAGTGCAGTGATGGTCATGTGAGTTTAGAGAAACATCAAATATGATGGAGAATGGCTATCATGAAATGCTGCCAGGCCAGTGGGATGAATAAGCTTCTGTGATTTTTGGAGGACAGATAGTGTGTGCGGCCACAATCCTGTAATGCTGTCGGCCCTTGCGTTGTCTCTCAGCGAGCTTGTTTGTTTAGCAGAGAGACCCTCAGGGAGGCATGGCGCACAACTCTTTCATGCTTGTGAGGGTACATTCCGCTGTGGATTTATGTCACAATCGATATGTCTCAATCCACTTTCCGTCGAGCCGCGCCCAATTTTCCCGAATCTGCATGTCCCAATCGATCAATGTATTGCGACTCATCCGTGTGATGCGAAAATTATCAGCGACCCCTGCTGATTGGTCACCGTCCATCCTGGCCCACATTCCCGCCAAAAGCACAAACACCCCCGAACCCCGTCAACCGGGGGAAACACAAATCCCCTCGGCGCACTCCCCGAAGATACACAACATAGCCGCGCTGCCAATAATTGCGACATCTGGTACTATAGTGGTATGCACCAGACATAAGGAGCTAGTATAAACCACAAACACACGTACTGGAATTAACGGCTTGCGCGCACTGTCCACCAGACATGGCTGAGCCACGAACCATCCCATTCATCCTACGGCTCCTTGTCGCCTGGATAACCTACTACTACACAATCTTCCACGACAATGTCTCCAAGAGCTTCGTAGGCCTGATAGAGTCTGGCGTCTTCGAGGACGACGAAGAGCAGTCCTCGTCCTGCGGGAGCGATTACGGCGACAACCGCCGTCATAGAGCGCGGATACGAAAGCGGAAACACGCTCTGTGGGTTGAAGACCTGCAACACATGCGCGAGAACGACTTTCAGGATCTCTTCAGGATCAACCGTTCAATTCTGGAGCACATTGTGGCAGGGATGCAACACTACCTTGAGCCGATTGTGCAACGATCCATACTCACCATGTACACTGCAGTGCTGATCCCTATCAAATACCTGGCATCTGGAATATCGTACGTAGACATCTCGTACCTGTTCGGCATCTCCAAAACTCTCTGCCACGAGGTGGTCGACGTGTTCCTCTCGCACTTCCCCTCCGTCTTCAAGGCCGCCTGGGTGCGGTTCCCCACCCGTGAAGAGCTTCCAGAGATGGCGCGGGAGTTTGCAGCCGTCAAGGGTGTACCTGCTGTGGTGGGTGCTGTGGACGGCACTCACATACACATGAAGGGGATGGAGGGGCACAGGACAGAATACTGGACAAGGAAATCCGCATATGCTGTACAACTCCAGGTCACATGTGACGCACGAGGGAGAATATGGGACTACCTTATCGGGTATCCCGGTAGCGCTCACGACATGCGTGTTTTCAAGGAGTCTGCATTACTTGAGCGGTTACAGAACGGGGACATAGCCCCATACCAGATCGTTGGCGATGCGGCCTACCCACTACGGGAGTACTGCCTAACACCCCTGCATGCCCCACGAGGAGAGGACCTCATGGACGACTGGGCACAAACTTTCAACTACTGCCAAAGCGCCACACGCATGGCCGTCGAGAGATGCATTGGCGCGTTCAAGGGGAGATGGCGCATCTTCGGCTAGCGCAACGACTGCAGGCTGTGGCGCTTACTCGCCGGGGCCGCGTGTTGTATCATCCTGCACAACATGTGTGAAGACATGCAGGATGTCAGGCGACGCAACATGGCATGGGCGAACATACCACGCAACCGAGATCCGTGGTGGACGCGGGGTGCTGTCGCGGCATTCAAATGGGAACCGTGCGATCCCCCTACACAACAAGCACTCAGGGAAAGGCGAAAACGACTAGGGGAGGCGCTGTAGTCATCTTACGCTAATCGTCGGCGCCGCGAACCCATACTTCCACATCCTCATCCGCCGGCATAGCGGTGTCGCCATCGCCCTCGTCCACACGCGTCCGTGCGGTTTCGGGAGCAGGCGCGGACTCCCCGCGTGGCGGCGGTGGAGAGAATTCATGGGGCGCGCGGTGCACATCCGGGGGAGCCGACTCTGTCATACGCTCACAGGCAAGTCTGAGATCTTGCGCCATCCATTCACGGACGAGGCCTTCGATGCGGTTCATAGCGTCGCCATGGCAGTCCTTGATGGTGGCAGATACGAGCATGGCCGCTTGCATGGTGGCCGTCTCATGCACCCGGGCACGCCTCGGTGTGGCAGGAGTCGTTGGCGGAGGAGCTGCGACATAGCAGGGACATTCGCATTAGTGTTAGCTCATAGAATAACCCGTTGTCGGTGTGCGTTGCATGCATGTTATTTTTTTATTAAAATGTTCAATAAACAACGTGGACGAGAACCACAACGCGAGCGATAAATCTCCGGACTCACCAGTGAAACAAGGGGTTGACGTGCCTGGCTGGGACGATTGCGGAACCTCCATGCCTGCCGGGACGTTGACGTTATTCGCGCCACCTCCGTCCACGGCATGAGGTGCGGCTGCGGCGGTGTCCTGGTTGTGCAGGTCAACGTACGGGTACCAAGGTGGTTTCTCCACGGAGCCGTTGCCCGACCCCTCGTCGGCCTTCTTATACTCACGCCATAGCACTATTAGGTTACGCCACTGTTTCTGGAGCGCGTTGACACCCCGGATCCATCCGGGGTTCGACTCCTTGATATGTGCGAGTAGCCGCGCCCAGTACTGGGTACCTTGTTTCCCCTTGAGGGGCTCGAGCTCCTCCTTGAGAAACCACTTTGCCGCAGCGAAGATGGTGCTCTCCTTGTCAGACCATAAGCCGCGCTCGAGAGGTGCAGCAGCCCGTTTCTTACGCGGCTCCGGGCGCGCTGCAGGTTGCGCCGCCTTGCCTTTGCCCTTATCAGACGCGGCCTTGCGTGCGGTTTTCTGTTTCGGCGGCGGGGCTCGCGGCTGTGCTTCCTCGGTGTCGTCGTCCTCGGTGTCATCGGCGTCCTCCTCGTCGTCGTCGTCGCTGGGCGACATTCCTTGGTCCTCAGGTTCGTCGTCCTCGTCGTCGGAGGCAAAGTCGTCGTCGCCTTCGTCGTCGTCGTCATCTGCTACGTGTTTCTCCACGGCGGGCCGGTGTGTTGCTGCCGTCCTGGTAGGCTGACGACGCATACGCGACGGCCCAGCCGTAGGCGACGGTGCAGTAGACCCCTGGCCGTCAAGAACGGGTGGCGCGGACAAGCCCCTGGGGTGACGGCCGTTGGCGATTTGCTGTTTCATCCAGCGGATGTACGGGATTTCGTTTAAGTCCTTGGGGCAGTCATTAAGAGCATGCCCCTTGCGCTTACGAGCCATGCTTGCGGTGGGCTCGCTTTCAGATCTGGATCTAGAGCTAATCGCGATGGTTGAAGATGATAGAGCACAATTTAACACACGGAGCACAACGTTGACTGGTTTGAGAGAAGGAGTTGTTGCGGAGGTGCACGGGGATGGGGGGAGGGCACATTGGCGGGGCTGTGCGCGTCCCTGTCAATAATTCTGCGTGGTTCGTTTCCTCCAATGAGGGTGCTCCGAACGCGTTTGGGGGGAAACTGGGTGTCTCAAAATGTGGTCCAGATACATTATGCATGGGATGACATTTGGGGCCGCGTGCGATTGCTGGGTAGTGTTGCAATTAGCTGGCGACAGTTCCGAGAATCACGCCACCCAATAATAGTTACAGTCGGCGACCTTCACGAGCGCTACGGCATTCCGACACCTAGCAGCTTATGCTGGCCTTACGCGTCCCAATCGATTGAGACACATCGATTGGGACATATTCTACAGCGGAATGTACCCTGAGTTTGGCATTCATTGCAGTTTGAACTCTTGGACCGGAGGTCATCGCTACAAAGTTTGCGGGTCTGATTCTGAACCCGAAACTAACTGTTGTTGGGAGGATCTACTAATCTATGACTTCACATTTTGGGGCTTGGGACACAGATGCTATTACCGTATTGAGCAAAAGATTGTGGTGGCCGAATCTCACAAGCTGAAGGACTGTATTGATTTATAGTGTGTTATCTAGAGTACTTGTCAAGAAGTTAAAGAATGACTAGTGGAGAACATTCATAGGGGTACAAGTCGAAATCCATACCCTCTACAGTACAACCCAACCTAACATAACAATGTACATTACTACCGTAAAAGCATAAGGGTACATTCCTGCCTTGACACTTGTGTCTCAAATGTATTGTGATGCTAAAAAACAGCATAGAACGTGCTATGTCACAAACGCGTGTCGCCCTAATGCGAATGTGTTGGGCTGAGGATTTCAGCCTTAGGATCTTTGCAGAGAATACGGTAGGCTACTAGGTGCTAGAGTAGCACAGCGGAAGCCTTTTGAGTGAATGTACTTGTGCTGGTATGTGAGAACAAGTAATTGATTAAAGCAAAGAGCATACAGGAATATATAGGAAAGGTAGATTACATGAAGCGGTTATGTTTATCGAGACGCGTAACGCTTCGACTATCGAGGCGGTTACTGTTCACTGAAGCGTCGCTTGCTGTTACGTAACCTCCAGGCGGTTACAGCTCGCAACCTCCAGTTGCGGTTTGATGTGGTACGCGCCTTTTCGACTTCATACCCGTTTTGTTGTGCTTCAGTATCGGGTGAGGTTCGATACTACAGAAACGCACTAAGTCATGCGTTTATATTCCCGACACTCCCCTTCGTTTCTGGAGTGTCGACGTGGTTAGCTTCGTGAGAAGAATTGAACGAGAATGAAATGACTATGAACGAAGTGAGTACAAATAGGAAACCCTAGTTGGGTTGTACCCCCTATGGGATACCCCACTATAGCCTACACAAATAAGTAAGCTATAATATTCTTACACACCCCCATAGGCAAAGTGGGGGAGAACAAGGGGTCACAAGACCAGTCAAGCAAAGCAAAGCAAAACTCAGGGTGGATCACAAAGTCACCACACATTCCGAGCACAAGTTCAAGGGCCACAAGGCCAGTTCACATGCAAGATCATATAAAGAGATATACAAGAGTCAAGCAAGCAAGAACAAGAGTATCTATAGGTCAAGGTACAAGCAAGGTCAAGAAGTGAGCAAGTGAGGCAAGACAGGCACAAGACCCAGCTGCGTGCAGCAACGCTGATGATCACAAGGCGCAAGTGCCTTGGTGAAGACATCAGCAGTGTTGGCCTCAGAGGCCACGTATGCAAGTCGCAACTGTCCACGCTGCTGTAGCTCACGAGCAAGAAAGTAGCGGAGAGCAATGTGCTTTGTCCTGTGCTCCAGTCGCTGCTCTCGACACAAGGCCAGCATGGCCTTGTTGTCTACGTACAGGACTGGAGGAGAACGAGGCGGCTCTCCAAGGTCGGTCAGCAGGTAGGTCAGCCAGCGAAGCTCCTGTGCAGCCATGGCCCCGGCGTAGATCTCAGCCTCACAACTGGAGCCGAGAACAGAAGACGAGCGGGTAGCCCGCCACGAAACAGAGCCGGAACCAAGGCTGAAGGTGTAACCCTGTGACGACCGCTGCGTAGCCTGGTCGTCAGCCCAAGAAGCGTCCGCGTGCCCAGTGAGGACCACTGGACTCCGCCCTCCAAGCACTAGCCCCATGCCCGACGTACTGCACAAGTAGCGCAACACCTTCTTTGCTGCAGCCATGTGCTCTGGTCGGTGTCTCCCAGGAGCAACATAGCGTGCGAGAATGCTAAGAGGGTATGCAAGGTCAGGTCGTGTGCAGGTCATCAGGTACATGAGACAGCCAACAAGCTCTGGGTACGGGCCACTCGACTCTACGGACTCATCCGAAGGCAGAGCTGAGAGCGAGTGGCGAGTAGACAGAGGAGTGGCCTGAGGCGAGGAGTACGTGAAGCCGAAGCGCTGAAGGACCTGCTGCACCATGTGTGACTGAGTCAGGGTGATGGTGCGGGCTGCTCTGTCCCGGGTGATCTGCAAGCCAAGGTAGCTGCGCAGTTTACCCAGGTCTGTGCACGTGTGTCTCTTCTGCAGCTCGGACTTCACGTAGGCGAGTCCAGCAGTGTCAGCTGTGGCAAAGACCAAGTCGTCGACGTACACGAGGATGTAAAACGGCGGCAAGGAGGTGTCGGTGCGCAGAAACAGCGACGGGTCGGCAGTAGAAGGAGCAAACCCAAGAGCCGCAAGCGTAGTCCTCAGTGTGTCGTGCCACTAACGCGGTGCCTGGCGGAGACCGTAGACTGGCCACCGAAGGCTCCACTGGATGCCAGGAGGAAAAGTCCCAGTGAAGCCAAGTGGGCGACGCAGCCAGATCTCCTCGTGCAGGCTGCCTTGCAAGAAAGCAGTGCTGAAGCCAAGAGAGTGTAGCTCGTAGTCACGGTGAGCAGCTACGTGCAGCAGTACCCGAAGAGTGGTCATCTTCGGGGTGGGAGAGACAGTCTGAAAGTAGTCAACTCCCTGCCGCTGACTGAAGCCACGAGCCACGTAACGCGCCTTGAAGACAGGCGGAGAACCCGACGGCCGCTTCACCCTGAAAATCCACATGCCACTGACGATGATTGCCCCAGGAGGGGGGACAGCGTCAACGTAGGTGCGTGTGGACTTCCAGGAAGCCATCTCTGTATCCATAGCTGCTTGCCACTGAGAAGAGTAGGGACCCTCTATCGCCTCTGCGTAAGAGCGCGGAGTCGGGAT